AACTAAGCGCCGGAAGTAGCTACAATTTTCGCAGGTATCTTTCAAAGTATGTACGATTATAATACCAAAATTGTTTTGACGAGTAATGCCATCTTCATGTTGAGGCTCAAAACTTTTCAGACGACCTATGTATGTTCATAGCATTTACTACACATTCACAATAAATATTTCATAATATTTATAATAAATGTTTATGATCTGTGCAATCTAAGACCATAAAAATATATATATATTTACAAAATATTTAAAATTAATCTTATAAATATTTATAAATATTTTGTAAATATTTTATAAATATTGTGTGCTGTCTGGGTTATATGCGATACGTATTACACGAAAAATCTGTATCATATATGGGACGGCATCGTAAGTTTGCAAGATTCAAATTTTACATGCGTGACGAGCTAATACAATACAGCCAAGTATAAACAATTGTGGGCTATTTTAGCTCTATATTGGCGACATAGGTGTAGCCAGTGCAGCGTAGTGCAGTGTATAAAGGCGCCAAAACCTTGTCCTAGGGTTCAAACTCTAAAAGCCCGCGGTAGCACAGTATTTAGGCAGTTCTACGATACAACCAAGAAGAACAGGCATGAGGCTAATATTTCATGTGTCGTACGACAATTTTGGTAAAACTGCATAACACCGACAACCTCATTGATTTTCATGACCTTAACATATGTTGATCTCAAAAATTAGCAAAGTCACATTTTTAGTTTTATTGTTAATTTGTTGTAACTTTTAAACGGCTCAACTACAAACAACCGGAAAATTACTTCAAATAACAAACGATTTATAATGAGAATATAATGTCATTTACTTTTTCATTTAAAATGAATTCCTAGCTGTTTTTAAAAAAATCGATTATAAGCTTATTTTTTAACTGCAAACAACTACAAACGATTTCATATATGAATCTGTGCCATTTGAGCTGTAACTAAAAAAAGTTTCTTACCTGTTTTTTAAAAAATCGATAGCATTTTTATTTTTCAAGTGTAAACGAAATAATGAAAATATGACTACTACAGTCATCTACAGGCAAAATTCTCAAGAAACATCCTTTGAAATCTGAATTGATAAAAGTCGAGTGCCAACTTCACGGAAGTCCTCGTCGTCGTCGTTGTCGCCGGTGCTTGGACGTTGACGGGAGGCACAGGGTCGACGAACCAGCCAATCGTGCGGAGACCCCCGCATCTGCATTCTAATGAGGCTCACCTGGGTATATATGGACTTAAACCCGCAACTTCGTTGCTTTTTCCGAGATATCTCTCCGCTACACAGGTGAGTACTCTTCTTTTTCGCTCTCTCTTTCGCGAGGTACACCGCATAGTTCTCGATGGAACGTTTTTGTAAACGAGCGTGTTTTTCGGTAGTATCTTGGAGTTGTCGACAAGGATATTTGTGAACGGGCGCGAGAGTTTTGTTACCGCGATATTTCCAGCGAAACGCTAATGTAAAATCGACGCAGCGACCAAGCCGGTAACACAAGCGATTCTTGAATTAGTCGGTGGATCTTATTAATGATGTGTCAGTAATTTCCACTGTTAAACATACACAATGATAAGAGTAATCAATAGAAACGTTGAAAAATCGAAGTTGGATGGACAGCTTCGACTTGACTGCCGATTTTCTTCCCGATTATCTAAATACCATGTTGTCTACGATTAATTCCTCATAGCTCCGTGACAGCCGATTAGTCCAAGATTCTAAGATCTGTCTTCTTTGAAAACAAAATAACAGTCTGACTTCGTATAATATATAAGATTGCGTAGATAAAGATTTTCATAAATGAATAACACAAGTTCTGAGAAATGTGTGCATGCATGTGCGTGTATTTCAATAGGAATATAAGAATACTAACTTAAGTTAGTAAAAACTGATGTATTAACAATATGTATTGACTAACAACGGTTTAATCCTTACAGAAACCCAATTTAGGGGTCTATTCTGTAACTGTAACGTTACAATCGTTAAGAGTTACAGAATAAAAAGGCCCCTTAATAGCCAATTTAATTGAAAATTGATTTCGAATATTAAAAGCATTGAACAACAAAATAAATAAGTAATTAATCATTATCTTTCAGTATTAAATTTTTGTAAGAAAATGAAAAGTATTTTTATTCTTTTCTTAATTTTAGTCTACATTTTTGTCAAATTTTTATATGTAGAATCACATCCTTTTCTTATTTTTATGAAAAAATGCTAATAAGTTTGTATTAGTAAAAATAATTCAGAAATATTACAATAAAATAATTATATAATTTTCGTTAAAGTTATTTTTCATTAATCTCAACAATCTTATTTCTGTTTATAAATGAAACACATTTTTCAATCGATAATATAATGAGATATAACTTTATACCGAAAATTATACAATTATTTTATTATAACGTTTCTGAACTATCACGATTTTTTTAAATTATTCATTACTATTCATATTCCACACACACAGTAAAAATATCCTAAATATATTATATGAATATTATATAATCGTTGCGATATTTTTAAACTGCCCCTGTAATATTTATACAGCTGTGTGAGTCGTATGGCAAAATGATTATTGAACAATATACTGTCCAATAATAATTTATACAGCTGTGTGAGTCGTATGGCAAAATGATTATTGGACAATATACTGTCCAATAATAATTTATACAGCTGTGTGAGTCGTATGGCAAAATGATTATTGGACAATATACTGTCCAATAATAATTTATACAGCTGTGTGAGTCGTATGACAAATGGTTATAACCATTTGTCATACAACTCACACAGCTGTATAAATTATTATTGGACAGTATATTGTCCAATAATCATTTTGCCATACGACTCACACAGCTGTATAAATTATTATTGGACAGTATACTGTTCACTAATCATTTTGCAATACGACAACTGTATAAATATCATACGAACAAACGACTTTTTAACCAACGCTTATTATTAATCAAACTTTAAACATAATTATACTTAACAAATTACTTCATGGAAAAAAATGGCTTACCCTTTTATTACTTAATTTTTCACGAAGTTTCACGCTGCAATAATTCGAATTTTGGGACACTTGTATGTGAATATTAAGAAAGATTTGCTCTCGCATTTATAATTTGCTCTCATCATTAATTTTGCGGATCCCGTTTCTAATAACAACTTTCGTTATTAGCGATATCGTAAACACCGTTAACGTCGGACGATGCCCACGCGCGAATCTGGTTGAATTTCGTCGACAATCGCTTATGAAGCGTCCACTCCATTCTTTCGTTTTGTTCCTAATTATTTCTTTTTGCACTTTCTTTCCTTTGTTAAAACCGAAACGAAGGTCAACACCTATGTCACACCCACCTACGTGACGAACGCATGAGTCAGTGACTATCAAAATTTTTGTCTCAAACTTTTCTTTGTCATTCACATTTTCTTTGTTATCACTTAACATTCAGGCGAATCGACGATAGTTATTCCCCGTAACGTTTCGTTAAAACATTCTGTTCTCGAATTTTCAGAGCGGCAATTTTTGTCACGAAATACGCATCGCTTCGATTTTATTTTCACTTATTATTTTCTTTTTTTCTTTTTACATTGATATTTCGGAAATTTTTATTGTGATCTTTCGCGAAGCATGGACAGAAATATCTCTCGCTCGGTTCCTTTGCTTCATTTTCGATAGCCTAAACGAAGGTCAGACCGGAGGTGCCTGTGTATAGAGGCACGAGACTTCACGGGCTGATATTACCATATCAAAACGAAAAATCCGAGATTCTCATAAGAGAATCACCGTTACTGATCAGAGCAGAGCCGTAATCAATGTCGAATAACAAAACATTAATTAATACCGTCCAGCCGGATCGAACCGTTATTTCGCCATCGGCAAAGTAACCAACACGATATCGCTAGTACGCGAGGATACTCTTAACTATATCTCTATGAGGCTGCTGCGAAGTACTCGCAGACTCATATCACAAACATGTGATTATTCGAATACAAATGTCGCCCGCGTCTTTGTTTTCCATTTTATGCACGCATTGCCCCACAGCTCGGAACGAGGGTGAAGATATTTATTCAATTAAATAGTCTTAAATTTTTAGCCAACAATATATATTGATAATATATATCAAGTTCAAGGTCATTGTGAAAAGTTTCCCTCATTTTTTACCATAAATAGTTAAAAAAAATAGGCAGATTACACATTTTTTATGCGTGCATGTGTACGCGTTGAAGTAACATTATATTTTCCTAAAGCTATATAAAAAAAGCCGAAGAAATGCAGGAGATTTAGAAATAATTCAGAAAGATTCAGGAACATCGAATTTTAAAGTAATTATTGCGAGAAGTCTAATGCATCATAATGAACTGTGTTTGTTTTCTTGAGATTACTTATATTTATATTATTTTCCTAAATTCTATTTTTTTCTAATTACAGATTTCAAGACGACGTCCATAATGAAAAAGTTATTGTTTTCTCTACTTTCGTTCCTGGCGTTTCTAGCATACGGAACAGCTGGTGCGTTTTACTTTTAAGAACAAGATAAAATTAACGCATGAAATGCCAATTCGTATTATTGTAAAATATCGCATTAAAACTTTAGGCTGTTCACGATCTTGCTTTTCGTTTGCATTGCATTTTATTTTCCTGTCTTTATTTCTATAATTTCTTTATGTCGTATAGTTTTCAGAAAACAAAATCGATAGGGAAAGTATTGACAATAAATTAAAAATCATTATATTCCGAGTTATCTAATAATAATTGAAAACATTAATTAATAAGTAATAAATAATGAATTATAATGAATAATTTATAATCTATAATTTATAGTCTATAAATTATATGTTATCTATAAATTATCGATAACAGTAATAATTAATTTAGATACGTGGAGTATTAATGATATATGTATATTTCAGTGTCTCCAAGGTTGGTCTGCTACTTTAGCAATTGGGCTATCCACCGTCCGGGTGTAGGTAGTTATGGCATCGATGATATTCCTACTGGTATGTGCACTCACGTCATTTACTCCTTCATCGGCGTGAGTAACGTCACCTGGGGAGTTCTCGTTCTCGATGAGGAACTCGATGTTGAAAAATGTGGCTTCAGTAAGTTCGTTGCTCTGAAGAAGAAGCAGCCCTCTCTGAAGACCCAGGTCGCGATTGGTGGCTGGGGCGAGGGTGGTAAAAAATATAGCCAAATGGTTAGCGACAAATCCAAACGTGATTCATTAATCAGCAGCGCCGTTGGTAAGCATAATTCCATAGTTTGAGAATGTTTTATACATGGAATTACTAAAAAAAGAAATTTCTTCTTTTATCGCAACATTTATGAACTTTGATAATTCTAAATAGATTGAATATATTGGTGCGTGGAAATTGTAGAAAAATTTGCCTGTTATGTCTAATATATTTGAATATAATATGTTTACTTTAAAAGCAAAGTCGAAAAAGACGCAACTCGTCTGTCTCGGGAGTGTGGATGGCGCGAATTGAATATGAAAGGATTTAATAAAATTTCTGATTTCTTTGGTAGAATTCATGCACAAGTATAAGTTTGATGGTTTGGATCTTGATTGGGAATATCCGGCTGCTACTGATAGAGGTGGTAGTTTCAACGACAAGAACAACTTTTTCTACTTCGTTCAAGAACTGAGAACCGCATTTGACAAAGCTGGCAAAGGCTGGGAAATCACGATGGCAGTGCCGGTACCCATGTTCCGACTCAACGAGGGGTACCATGTGCCAGAATTATGCACGTGAGTTCCTTTTTGCTATATATATTATTCATACTCTAATAAAATATATACAGGATGTCCAGTAAGTTTTTACAAAGCGCTCGTGAATAGGTAAAGCGGATTAAACTGAGTCGAAAAGTGCCATTTTGTTTCAATCCTATATCTCGAACTATTTAGAAATTATTTAGATGGCCCGGAATTTTTGACGGGCACTGTTTTTCAATTATTACTTTATTATTATTTTATTTCTACTTATTATTTTATTTGCAGATTTGTCGATGCCGTCCACGTTATGACTTATGATCTCCGTGGCAATTGGGGCGGATTCGCTGATGTTCATAGCCCACTCTACAGGAGGCCTCATGATCAATACGCCTACGAGAAACTGAACGTGGTATTCTTCCTACAAGTTTTTTCTATTGAAAAGACATATATACGGAAGACATTTATATGGAAGCATTGCCATTATTTCAGCACGATGGTCTTCAAATCTGGGAGGAAAAAGGCTGTCCCGCCAACAAACTTGTCGTAGGAATCCCGTTGTATGGACGTAGCTTCACTCTCAGCCAAGGCAACAACAACTTCAAACCTGGTACTTACATCAACAAGGAAGCCGGTGGCGGCGAACCCGGCAATTACACTGGGGCTCAAGGATTCATATCCTATTACGAGGTAAATGATCTATCTGTAAACAGCTAAAATCAGCGAAAGAGTCGAGCGATGTCAGCAGGCGCATTTGTTACGTCAAAATTTTTCTACTTCTTCTACAGATCTGTATGGAACTTCAACAACCGAATCAAAACGGATGGACTAAGGACTACGATGACGTGGGTAAAGTACCTTATATGTACAAAGGTAAGTTTAATTTTTGTAGACATTAGAAGAATAAAAATTTCTCATATGATCTCTCGAAAATCTCTCGAAATGACGTGTAACTGTTTTTGAAAATCTGACAAAGTGTAGAAAATAGTATAAATATTACAAGATAAATGTACTAGAGAATGTGATTGCCTAGAAAAATATTGTTCGATAATTCAATTTTATTAAATCGAAATATGTATTATTTTGATCGCAGTTTTATTTTTCAAAAGCATTAATTAATTATAATGTGAATGGGATCAAATAAAATTTGAGTTTTAAATTTGTTTATTTTTTAGTAAATAAATTAAAGTCAAATTATTTTTAAATCGAACCCTATACTTTCTTTTCCACATTTTTGTAGTATGAAAAAATGAATTTATCGATATTATTATATCATTTGATTATTTAATCTCAAAATAATTTAATTAATATTTACAACCTGATTCATGAATCGATACCTAAAACAATGAGATTCATGACGTAAAACATTGCAGTTTAGTTGAATTTATGCATAACAATCTGAAATTTTATTTCACTTGCAGAGTTTCTAGAAGAGACAGTAACTCTTATTTTTTTAGAACATTCAGTCGTTAATATATATACTTTAGACAGGGCAAAATACATCATTAAAGTATTTGAAATACAAAATACAAACCGTATTTCAAATATAAATATTTGAAATGTACCCAGCCCTGCTTATAAATATACTTCGTATAAAACTTCAGTTTAAAAAAATTCATAAGTCTTAAATATGAATCATTTTTGTAAATCCCCTAAAATGAGTGCTCAATGGGAGTCAAATGAGAGACAAATGGACAGTTATTGCTGTATCCATTGGGCGCTCTTCAAGCAATCATATTTGAATACATATTTGGGACATATTTGGAGCATGAAATGGGCGATATTCGGATCGCTCAGGATGTCCTTCGGATGCCCAATGGTCGTCCATGTATTATGTAGGTTTTTGGCAATCAACCCCGTATGAGAATCGATCCTAGTCTCCCTGATGATGCACTTATTCTATATAAAAATTTTGTTTCTGTATTTTCTGTTTACAAAATATATGTTATTATTTAGTTTTCATCAGGTTAATTAACTTTTTCATTTGTACAATTTTTGCAATAGTTTGAATTATTAGAAAGTTTTGATCAGCAGGAGGAAAAAGTCCCCAATGGATTGGCTACGAGGATGCGGACAGTATTGTTCATAAGATGAATTTCATCAAGGAGAAGAAATACCTCGGTGCCATGGTCTGGGCTTGCGACATGGACGACTTTAAAGGACTCTGCGGTCCTTCGAATCCTCTCATAAACACAATCTTCAACAATCTTAAGGGCTACACAGTAACACCCAAAGCTTACAACACAACTCCTAGGGTAAGAAGTTATTTAATTAATATTATGAGAGACTGAGACTCCGATTAATTTAATCGGCGATTAGTTCAACCCGTAGAATTATCTGTGGCGAAAGCTTTACTTTATTGATCTCTAATTTCTCTTTGACTGTCAAATTACAAGTTAGTAATAGATATTAACTATATAGCTATTACTTGACAAGATAATTATCAATTATTGGATTGAGTTTGATTGACAGAGAGAAATCACGCTGTATGTTCAAATATTACATATCCAAATAGTGAAAAATATTTTGTTATTACAAGAATGTAAGAATTGAATATAATAATCATGATTTTCAGCCCGAATGGGACAGGCCACCTAGTACCCCATCTTCGATTGAGGATAAACCGAAACCCCCCCCGAATCCCGAACCCACCTCGAAACCCGACGTAACAACCAAAGTACCTCGTCCTACGCAGTCTACGTCAAGGCCCGACGATAAAAACGAAATTGTTTGCAACGACCAGACAATGATGATCCCTAGCAAAGACTGTTCTGAGGTACGCTCGTAAATACTAAAATATTTTTAAAAAGTACAATCTTTAAAACAATATATATTTCTAATGATTATTTAAGATACACGAGGGCAAAAATGCCTTAACATACCTTCTTTTTATGTTTTCTCATTCCTTCTCATGCAGGGAAGGAAAAGATTGGCTATAAATGCGAAAGAAATTACAAAATTTAATTTGTTTGATGTATATATAGCAAACAAATGTGCATATTTGACAAATATTTAACAAATATTTTGCATCTGTTGCAAATGATTTTTGTAGCGAGGACGAAAAAGAATAAATATTTCTTTTACACCCGCAAATAATTTGCCCTGTATTTGCAAATGGAATTTGCTGTTATGACAGCAGGATTGGCGCTCATAGCAAATTTTTTCTCTCAGTATTTTTTCAAAATAGCTTTTTTATGCGACATCAAATTGTGATTTTTAGAATCTGTTTTAATCAAATTTACCGACGTAACTCTTACATAATAATTACATATTTTTTTGCAGTACTTTGTCTGCGTCCATGGTAAACCGATGAAATCACACTGTCCGAATGGTTTGATTTTCCATACCATTAATCTCGTTTGTGACTGGCCAGCCAATGCTGATCGCAAAGAATGTAAAAAGATCTAATCCGTCGGGGTCTTGGTTCTACTAATGTCAATTGCCCAGCGTTTTGTCGATTCCATCTCTCAAGTCTACGAGGGAATTTATTACGGTTTCATATGAGATTTCATATGAGAATATTCGTTACGTGTTACTATTTGTTGTTGTGTGTGAGAGTGTGTGCGATGCTAATATTACTGTAATAAATCATACGCAGTTATTAAAATTTGAGAATTGTATTATGTAATTTTCTATCCTTTACAATCCTCTTTTTATACTCTTTAACTTATTTAACTCTCTTATTTAAAATTATAAGTTTAAATTTAGAAAGAAGAAAATTCTTATATAAGGAGCCTTAATTATTATTATTTCTTTAAATTAAATTAATTACCCTAAGGAAAAGTATTTATTGTATCAACATTATCTATTATATTATACCAACATATACGTCCGCGCACACATACACAAAATCTTTATTTTCTTAAATATGTAAATATATTCGATATATCTTTTTAAAAAGTATATAAAATAAAACGTATGAGAATAGTTTAAAAAATTTAATTTTGGGTTAAAATCCTTAAAAAGTGAATAAGTTTACAAATAATTTAAAAATATGACGCTAAAAAATCTCTAAAATTTGATGTTTCTATGCATTTTATATGTGTATGCATAACTCACATAATGTATATTTGATTATACAAAATGGAATATTCATTATTATACATATACCAACAATAGCTTGTAGAATATAAATGAAAAATAATTTGCTAAGAACTTCTTAACAATCGTCAGATTGTGAATGTAATCGCAGATTCGTATGTGTTTTCGTTTGAAATCGCGAAACTTTCCTGTTTCATGATGCATGCTGCAGGCATTTCCTCCTTCCCACCGTTATTGACGGCGTAAAAAAAATGAAAAAAAAAAGCGATTTGATGTTAACAATGCGTGACAGTTAGCGCAAAAAATATGCTCTCGAATATGAAGTCAAGAGTGATGAAAAAGCAAACAGAACTCTCTTTCCGCTCTTCTAATCTACTCTACCAAAACGCTCTCCATTCGCGAGAGCGTTCCTCGTGTGAATGAATACGTAAATTTTTAGTGGAAAAATCGCATATGTGCTCCGAGTTCAAGACCCCAAAGATCCTGAACCTTGATTGACACCTGAATGTTCTCGTATGCATATAGAGCCACCCTCTGTCGTGCGATCTCTCTCTCTCTCTCTCTCTCTCTCTCCTTTCTTCTATTTTCATCCCCATCTCTTGTCCACATTCCCTCCTTCTTCCACATTCTGTTACATCGCTTTTATCCGGAAGCGAAACTTGATGGCTGTTATAATTTAACGAGCACATTTCTTTCTCCAGTTACCGCGGCATTTGCAAGAATGAACACCAGCGAAGCCCACGTTTCTTTCTTTCTCTTCTCTTATGCGCAAGGCGGTTTCTTCTTATTCCACGACAATCATCACGTTTTTTCTTTTTTTTTTTCGATCGAATAATGCTGTGAAAACGAAGACAAAGGAAAAGTGAGAAAGTTGAACGCGCAAACGAAATCGATGACGCGTTTCATATGTCGGAGGGTGAATGGCGCAACGGTTTCCAAAAATTAGAATAGCCCTATAAAATAATTCTAACGATAACGGTTGGTTCGGTCTTGATATTTTTCTCGTGACAATTATTTCTAAACGTTTCCCAATTGTTATCCTCCAATTCTGTTACGTAAAGTTTATAATATAAAATATTCATACAGGACACAAGATTAACAATAATTTTATTTAAAAATTGTATGTTTTAAAATAAGAAAATATCAAGCGTGTTGAAAAGAAATATTATATTCAAGAATACACACAACAGGTACATAATTTTTAGAATTTCACACTTGAAAATTTTAAACTTTTCTTACGATAATTTTATCTTAATATAAAATATATTGATTAAAAAAAATCACTATTCTAAAAGTAAGACGCGCGCGTGCTATTCTGACGTAGTGCTATTTCAAATGACATAAATAATGCACTGTCGTTCGTGTTTCAGGGCTGGCGACCCCGCGTCTAATTTTTTTTGCGGCCAGGGACAGAGGGGGACATAAGAGAGAGGCGACGAAAGGCCACGGAACCCACTTTTATAACTCCATTGACAATTTTTTGGTTACCCTCTTGATCGTTATTTTGATCAACTTCACACGTACATTCGATCATATATAGGTACGTATATTCCCGTTTGATTTATCTTCCAACATAATAAAGAGATTTTTGGCGTTTTTCCGGTAAATAATTTCAGTCACCATAGCACGTGCATCAACAAGTTATCGATTTATTGGTAAATCGCTTAATAATCGTTTTTATGTCATATGACAATGTATAATTTTATTTATTTAATAAAGTATATATAGATTTAATTAAAAAAACTATACATATTTAAAATAAATAAAATTATGCACTGTCACATGACACAAAATCGTGAAACAATTATTAAGGAGGGAGACTAGTGTGAACATTAAAAAGTAAGATAATTTTACGGAATTTTTTTTGAAGAAACAATGGATTTTTTATACTCATCTGAAACAAAAATACAAAATAATTTCTTATTTTTTATAAAATTACTCATCAACTCTGGCAAAAAGTCGCGTTAATATTTGTTTATGAGCCCTATAAAATGAATTATTTTTGAACAAAAAATTTTTTTCTATTTTTGAAAATATGTGATAAAGCACAAAAAATCTTTAAAGAAATTAAAAATAGACTCAAAAGGGAAGTACAAAATGTAGGTTTAACGTTACCGATATCTTATTGACCAATATAACTAATAAATTTATTAATACACGTGCTACAATGTCCGAAATATGTTCCTATAATGCTAATATACATGATGATAGTAAATATTTCAGAAGAAATAAATAAAAGTATTTAATACATCGACTTTTACGAATAAGAAACTTCTAAACTAATAAATAGACATTAGAGCGAAAAGAAGTATAAGTTGCGTATGGTAATTATTTGGTAGCGTTGTTGTTCTTCATCAAGTAGATATCTCATACATCGGGTAACTGCTTCGCAATAAAAGCAAACTATTATTCGCACAAACAAACATTAGGCTTTCGCTGTATGTTTTTACTACAAAACAAATGCCCTCGTTTCTATTCTCCACTAAGAGGGTTCCCATTTTTATTCGCGTGATGCATTGTGCAGAAGCGAGCTACTCATCTCTGCATACACGTAATTTCAGCGAGCAAAAATACCTATCATTTGCCAGCTAGCCCGATCTGATCCGATTCTGCCCCGCGTCCGTGTAATCGTGCCCTTTTATGTTAATTAGCAATCCTTTTGCGTTTAACCAGCTGTGCCTCTGTCATTGTCTCGACTCTCCGTGAAAACTTTTTCTTACTGCTACCACGAGTTTTCGACTATGGTTCACTGTGTGAAAAACACACGACCGTCCCCCAAATGTCCCATCCGAATCGCTTTTTTCATCGGCGTCGACGGCGGTCGAATAGAAGAAAAAAGGGTTACGCGTTCGAGGGATGCGCGTGTCGGAAGGTGCCATGTTGCGCGGGGTGAACGAGTTGAGACTTGGGATGATGAGAGAAAGGCTTAATAAAAAATATGCGGTGCCGACGCGGTCGAAAATCCGCATAAAACCTGGATCAAACCACGGGTTGCCGGTTATAATTCCCGATTACTCAGTTCTATTTTAGCCAATAACTATGAACTCGCTGTACAGTGATTGATTGAAATAGAACCGAATAATCGGGGAAATTCAGCAATTCATAGTCTGATTGCAGCAAGTTTGACGTGCTTTTCTCAACCGCGGCATGTTTGCCGATATTGTGTACCCTGATAGCAAAGCGGAGACAGATTTTGAACAGAGCCTGCTACCAATTTTAGATTGCGGAAAGGCACCAAATTGTACACAGAATTTGTATTATCTGACATTGTCAGCAAATTAGCCAGAAATATAACAAAGTCTGCTAGATATGCTATGCCAATAGATTGGTAGCAGAAACCGAGCAAAGTCTTGCATAACCTGACGGCAGATTGAGAGCAGATTGAGAGTAGAACCTGATTCGAGCAGACTCTGCTCGGTTTTTGCCACCAATCTGCTGGCATAGCCTGTCAAGATCACAGACTTTGTCCAAATCCATAGCCAAATGCGGACACAAATGGCTATGGTTTTGTAGTCAAAATCTGATGGAGTTTGTTGCCAATTTGGTCTCAAATTGTTAACATTTTGCTATCAGGATATGTATATACGGGAAAAGTATACGGACGTACGCGCGTCTCTGTGTCATGAAGATCTTCCCTCTTCGCGTAGAGGAGGGGAAGCCTTTTAACCCTTTTACTTCCGAGGACATGCGCGTTGTGAGCAAGCGTCGCAATGCAACCTCGGTAATTGCTGCACCCGACACAAAATGGCAGTCCCGTCGATGGCGATGGCATGTTTTCTTTGCGAATTATTGTATCTTTCATACATTAATCGTAAGGTGAGAAATCGATTTGTTTATACTAATGTTACAACGAATGCTTCTGTTGCAAAAAAAATGAAAATAGGCTTAAATGGCAAAACTTTAGTAATTGTTTGCACTCACAATTGGTTTAATCGAATCCGGCTTTATAACTTCAACATTTTAGACAATTCGTGGTAAAAAATTTCGAAGAGAAAATTTCATTCGCTGGCTAACGTTGAAACAGTAATGGCATCGCCGATGACCCTTATCGAAGGTGTAAATCTCTGATTAACGATTTACCTGATGACCAGTCATTCTATCAATAGGACTACTCCGGACTGCTCTAAAAACGCGCGAGCTTGTGCTCGGGCTGCCGAAGAAGAGAAGCAATTACCGTGGAGGAGGATTTAAGGAAAGGAAAGAGAAGTATCGCGCCCGAAGGGCTCCGCCGGGGTTTTCCTCGAGGTCGAGTCTCGCTCCACAGTTAGCGGGGCGTGTCTTCGGTTTCGTTGAATTAAACATCGTGCCAACTTCAATCAGCCCGGTTCTCTTCATCTCCCTCCTCCGTTTTCCTTCTTTCTACAACCGCCGCGATTCTGAAAAAGCTACGCTTCTTCCTTTTTCGTCTTTCCTTCTGTCTTTCTTTGTTCTTCATTCTTTATTTTATTTCTATTTTTTAATTATATTACTTTTTTATTTTTAGTTTTTATGACTTTACATTTATTATTACGTATTGTTTAAAATTTACTATAATATTATGTATTCACTTAAA